AATATATATAATTAAACATTGAAATGTTATGAGCAACTTGTATAACTTTGGAGCCAGTTGTGTGGGCATTTGGCTAGATTTGGAAAATGATGCCTGGGGACACCAGTGTAAAGCACTGTTGATAAATGAACAGTCATCTCTGCTCTGCTGAGCCTGCCTTCAATGCTTTAAAAAGGCATTTTTCTGCTCATTTATGGATTAATTTGCTACATTTGATGAGTGTGAGAAATTGCTTTGGTATGTGTAATTACTACATCTGCTATGCCCATATAGGCATACTTTACATTGTGAAGCAGATATTCCATTGATATTAAATAGAGAAATAGCTGTGATTAAAGGGGCAGCATCTAGGCGAGCTCTGGTGGCCTAGTGGCAGGAAACTGCACTGCAATCCCAGAGGTGCGCGGTTCAAATCCACCAGATACTCTGCTGAAGAAGGAGGGACAATCGAATCCTGTACCAGTCAGATCCAGTTTGATGGCACACACATTTTAAAAAAAAAAAGTGGGGGGGTAGCATCTATTCACAGGGCTCAAACAATTTCATGGACTTTAAATGGTGTCTCTGTTTTCTAACCTTTGTGTTTCCCTTTGCTTCAGAAATTCTTTGTGAGTTTTAGAAGGGTTTTGAGAGAAAAACGATAAGAGAGATGGTGAAATTCCATCAGCGACACTACCTTCCAAAAGGTGCCTTCCAAAGAGTTTTCTTTTATTATTGAAGGCGGATGTTGAAACAAAATGCAGCTTCAATTATTTTAGCTAATTGAAATGAAGACTGCTAAGGTGGACTGAGCAAACATGTGACATGTTGCCTGATGAATTTTTGTCCTTTTCCAGGAATTACCCTTGTGGTCCTGACCATTCCAGTGGCCTTTGGTGTCTATGTAAATTACAGGTGGCCAAAACAATCCACAATCATTCTGAAGGTAAAGAAATCCATGCTGTAGTTAGCACATTCTCTGACTCAAGATTTGGGAGAGAGCAGCAGGTGATGGATGACTTGGAATAAACAGCCAGTCAGTCAAGTGCAGCCTGCATACAACAGCAACTTCTCCTACATATTATTGATGGTTTTTGTTTTCTTCTTCACATTATTGGAGTCAGCATCAAATATATTTCCCACTTCTTTAAGCTTTGCTCAGTGAAGGCTTGATCCATACATTGAAAAGTATGGGAATCTCACTTTACAGAAAGAAAGGTTAGATTTGTGTTTGTAGACTGAGAGCACCCAGGACGAACCCAATCACAGGGTTTGACATTATGACTTTGTTTATGAGCTTTTTCAATGTATATGAAACAGAGCCCCAACATTTAAGCTCTGCATACTTTAATGGAAACACACTTTAAAGAGCCCCTTTTAGAAGTATTTTGATGAGATCTCTTAAGTTGTTTGCCCACATGAGCAAATGTTGAACACATGAACATGACTGTTTAAATGAAGCCATCAAAAAAGGACTGAGAAGTCTGATAAAGTCTAATAAATCACAGTTATGAGAACCTCCTATCTGCCCTTGCATTTGCAGGCTTGTCTATTCAGAGAAAATTGAACTACCTCATTAAAGAGCTTTCTAGAAAATTTAGAGAGAAAGTATTTTAACAATGATACCAATTTTTGAAGTTGCTTTCTATATTTCCAATTATAACTTTAGCGTAGATTTCATAGAAGCATAAAATTTGTAACTTTGAAGTACCATCAAGTTGAGTATGACTCATAGTGAGCCTGTGAACAGATTTGA